ACCAAAATGTTATTTATGACTCAATGTATAGAATGATTTGTAATACAAAGAAAGCAGCCAACATTAAACAAGTTATCTTTCTGCATAGAAGATTGTTTATTGAAGCATGTATATTAAAAAAAAAAAATTTTAATTCACATTGAACCTTGTAAATGGTGTCACCTTGAAATTGGTTCCATTAACCGTGGGAATGCCAGTATATATATATATATATATATATATATATATATATGAATGATATCTTCATTCAAACACGTTTCATCAAATAATATAGACATATTGTGTCTACTTATTTTTATACTGATCCTTTCCAGTTGTCTAATCACTTTCTTGCTGTTAAGATGAAATTCATCAAGGAAGATGCCATAGTTTTTTGTTTTTTTTAACCCAAGAACTTTTGACCTATGATGCAACAGATAAATTAAAAATTTTAAAAACGCTATAACATAGTGCATTCGTGCGTCTTTTAAAAAATCACTATCACAGTAGAATGCAGATTTTATCGCAGTTACAATTAGTTTGTAATTTATCTCTGAAGATGATCTTAGAAAAGGTTGAAAATACTTTGGCCCCCAAAAAATCAAAAAAAGCTACAGGGCCTTCCTTGATTAATTTCAGCTTAACATGAAGAAACTGATAAACAACTGGAAAGGATCTGTATATAATATGCCTATATTATTCAATGAAGAACATGCACACACACACACACACACACACACACACAATATATATATATATATATATATATATATATATATATATATATATATATACTCATCCACAGACAGACTGTTTCACTATATCACAGCTCCTCAGTGTGGCTAGACATCCAATTGCTTTAGGCTTGGACCAAAACTCAACTGATTTAGTATCAGTCGGAGATACTAACCCCTAGGCTATCGATGCCCAGCAAGGAGAAAGGCAAATTTTTACTTATTTTTTCATAAACATGCCAGTGACTCAGAGAATACAATCTAATCTGGAAAGTCTTGCATTATCAGCAGTAATAGTGACTGTTTACAAATTCATGCTTGCTTCCCCACAGTGCTCGACTGACTTAATCATTTTTTCGGGAGCTAATATCATCATCCACAGACATACTGTTTTGCTATAGGACAGCTCCTCAGTGTGGCTAGACATCCAATCACTTCAAGCTGGGACTGAAACCCAACTGATTAGGTATTAGTCAAAGATTCTAACCCCTAGGTTATTGATGCCTGGCAGAGAGGCAAATTTTTTGATATTTTTTTTTTTTTTTTCATAAACATGCCAGGGACCCAGTCGTTTTACCATATGCTTTATTTATGGTTAAAAGTGCCTAATATCAGATAATTGTATGTAAATATAAAAGTGGATATTGAAATCAACACTTGTGGTGTCAATTTGTTTCATGAAACAGACCGTTCAGCAAAGATACTCATGGTTTTATTCTATAAAATTGGAAATAGGAGCTTACTTACTTTATTAATAATTAAAATTTCATCGTTAACTCACATTTACATATATAGAGCATATGCATGTATATAGTATAATGTATGTATTCCTTTCCCTCATCTCACATACGCACACACACACACACACACACACACACAGTTATGTGCATGTAGGTACACCAATACGTTCACAACTTATTTATAAAAAAAGGCATGTTTTATATAACAAATATTTATTTTTCAACATATTCTCCTTCTTTGTTAATGTGCTTTCTATATTAATTGAATATGTTGTACATTATACAGTTAAAATAAAATTTCAGATCAAAATTCTTTCCATATCAGGCTAGAGGTTTATTGCTCAACTTATCTACATGTACACACACACACACACACATGTGGCATCTGTTGGTCTTGAGAGACCATGGATCTGTGTCCAAACAGTTACACCTCAGCTGCTGATAGCAATGCAGCATCTGTTATGGCTATACAGGCCCACATGGGAGTGACAGTCTTAATTGCAGTGAATGCATGTGAAGACACTCTCCCTCCAATGTCGCCATGTTGTTTTCTTTCCTTCAAACACATTTCTCCCTGGCGGCAAGCCTCCATTTCTTTTCTCCTTGCTTCAGTACTCTGTGTAAATTGCGTCTCCAGGATAAGCAGTTGTTGGTAACGTCTTTTCACCTCTCAATGTACATGTCCATTGCCCTCAAGTCCTTTTTGCAGATGTAGGTTGAAGTGGAGATGAGGTTGCCCTTGTGCCCTCTTGCTGGTGGCTAGTTCTCTGTACAGAAGGACCTTCAGAATCCTCCTATCAGTAGGCTGTTGCTTCCTGTGTTTTGCTGTTGCAAGTGTCCTCCACAGGACTGGGCAGCATTTTATGAGAACACATGCATACATTTCACACACACACACACACACACACACACACACACACACACACACACACACACACATATATATATATATATACACATGTTAAGTTATGAAGAACTTGGTAAACCGAATTGGTAAATTCAAGGAGGATGAAATCCTCAGTTGGAGGTGTTACCTGATGATCAGAAATCCTTTAAAAAGGATTTTGGTGAAATAAATTATTGTAATGGTACCTTAAAGTGGTCTGTTTTTCATTAAAAAAAAAAAAAAATATATATATATATATATATATATATATACACACACACACACGAACCTCAATTTAATAAACATAGTTGGGATTGTTCATTAATTTGAAGTATTTTTGTGACCTAAAAATACAAAATTATTGTAAATACAGTATATATGTATGTGTATTTTTTTTTAAGTTACTATATATATATATATATATATATATATATATATATATATATATATATACACCTAGTGAGCCAGACAAACCTACCCCTTTCCCTGACGATCCGTTTAGGTGAAACCTAGGTAGGTTTGTCTGGCTCACTAGGTGTATCTAGGTTTTCTCTACGATTGTATTGAGCTCTTTTTGTTAGTTAGTTGTTACTCGTATCGGGGTTTTTTCTTTGGGCTTCAGACCTGCATCTGTGCGATTTTTTGTCGGCAGAAGTTTATGTTTGTAGCTCTTTCTTTTTTTTAAACCTTTTTTTCCTTGAAATTGATTTGATTAACAAATCAAAAATTGAGGGTTTTTGAAACGAGTCTAGTTATTTTATTTATTATATATATATATATATATATATATATATATATATATATATATATATATATATATATATATACACACACACATACTGTGTGTGTATTTGAAAAGCAGTATACGCTTGTATAAATTTGGAGTTGGATCTTCAGTGATCAAAGATATATGAAAAATGCAGGATTGTTATAGATCATGTTTTTCTTATTCACATTTGTCTTATGGCCATATCTTGTTGAAACACTGGTTCTCATACAATCAGCAAAGTTAAGCAATGTCAAGCCTGGTCAGTAACTAGATGAATGACTGTTTGCAAATCCCAGCTTCTGTCAGCTTGGATGTCCAGGTGGTGTAATCAATAATGATTTGAAATCAAAGATCCATGTTCCAGTTCCTTTTGCATTTGTCATATTCACTTTCCCAATGCCAATACCCTTAAAAATGTATGAATCCCCCTTTTCTCCCACCATCTATTATTACCTCCCTCCCCCAATTCTTAAAATCTAAAAATATTTTCTGGCTTTAAATAACTTGCAAAAACAAATTAATCAATCTTAGTCATATTTGAATTTGAACAATAAATAAACATGATATACAAATTTATAAATACTCATCAAATGTGACATAATTTATATAAAAAAATTATTGAACTTTGAAGAATTTGATAATATATAGGTATAGTTTTTTTCTTTTTCAATATTTGCTTTACACTACTTTGCTCTTATGAATAAAAAAAACAAAAAAAAAACTAAGCTCTCACCATTTAAATGTTTTTTTGTATTCATGCTCCATACACAAAATGTTGCCTACCTCAAGCAAATGTAACCTCGCTCTATTAACTTATATTGTTTCTTTTAATCATTCATTTTACAATTTATCAAATAAAAAAAATGTTGCCATCTTGGAAAAATTTTATCAGCAACTAAAATATAAAGTATTAAAGTTTTGATCATATTATTTAGAAAATAAATTATTTTTATGAACAAATTCTTGTATGTATCTGGTCAAAATTATATATTTTTTAACTTACCATTTTACATTTATTCTTGTTTTAAAGCTTGGGACTGGTAAAATGTTTTTATTGGCAACTAATAATAATTCCTTTGTTATTTTTAAGGAAAATGTTTTATTGCATTTATACGTACATTTTGAAAAATAGATAAATAAAAAAAAAAACAAAAAAACGATAAAACAATTTGCTCAATAATAACTTAGAATTTATTCTACTCCGTTGATTACATTTATAACAAACGGAACAACCGAATTCAGTTGTTTAGTCAATGTACTTAACAATAATTACTTCCCTTTCAACCGAATTCAGATGTTTCGTCAACGTACTTGACGATATTTACTTCCCTTGAAACTTTACAAGGTTTACATTTGATTTTTAAATATGCTGATTGCGAAAAATATATGCTAACAAGTGGAAATGAAGTAAGCCAATCATGACACTTGTTGCTTTTTAGACTTTGATAAATTTAGTTAAAGCTACAATTTTGCATTGTTACTTATTTTTGTATTAAAACTCAGTTTTTTTTTTGTTTCTTTTAAGCTAACATAATTCGTTTAGTTTCTTCATTTTTTTTCTTTCTTTTTTTATAAGGCATCTTAATTATGTATTTAATATATTTTCGAGCTTGGACAAAAAAAAAAACAAACGTCTTTTCATATAAAACAATGCAAATTTGATAAATCTTTTCATATTTTTTATTTCTTTAAAAAAAAAAAACTAATGTAGAAATTATGTACATTTATATTTTGAATATTGAGTAAGTAGTTTTTATATAATGTGAACCATATTGTTTAACTTGTTCATTGAAATTTTCTTGCTATATGCTATCTGTTTTTTGCTTATTACATGAAATTAGATTGTAATTACGTATTATCTCATTTTACTTTCACTCATTTCATTTTTCCAGAAAGTTTCGTAGACAACAGGAGATTGAGGAGATAGATGAAGTGGCAGAGATGAATAAAGAAGCAGCTGAACCCCGAAAGGGGAGAGAAAAGAAAGAACTGGGATTAACTTTAAATGAATTTTTGAACAGGTATGTCAATAAGCAATATATATATATATATACACACTTTATTTTTTTAATGTCCTTGATCTTAAAAATTGTTCATTCAAAAGAGATATCTTTCTATTTAGCACATTGACTGCCAACTGTGAGTTGCCATTTTTATTATGATGCTTGGCATTTTCTTCTGTAGGTGCCAACAGCAATGAATTTATTCACTGTGATACTTTTAATGTGAAGACAATGTTACACTTCAGTTGAAACTATAAATCAACTTGTAAAAAATTTAATTGCCAAAGTTGCTGTTTGTAGTCAGATTTCATAATTGACCTCTGGAAGTCAATGTGTTAAAACACTTCCAAGAAATATATTTTGTATATTTACTGATTGTGTGTTTATTAGTATTGGCTTTTACAAACCAGTGCAAGTAGATTTTGATAAAATCTTGTTAGACTTTGCCAAATATGATACATTCTTATGTTTGTCCTCTACCATCAGTGAACTGGAATATTGACACCATGATCTCTTTAGGACTGTATTAGCTGGTATCTATTTTATGCATTTTGTTTTATTTTGTTTGCTGAAGTGAGGAATATCTTTTGTTACTGTTTATTTCAAAAGGTAGTATGTTTCTTTTTTATATTTATTCTGTCAGTAATCAAATAAGTTTACTTTAACTAAACAGATCAAATTCTGTAATGATAGTTTTGCCACCCCTCAGCAAAACTGGTTTGGATATACTGTTTATTCAATTATTTATATTATTTCACATATATTTTTGACTGTTATCTTTATCTTTGTTGTTTTTAATACATCCTGATGTGTACTTCGGTCTTGTTTATATTTTATATGTTTATTTTCAAGTCATTTAATAGCTTTTCTTTTTCCTTTCTTGTTTTCTCAAGAAACCAACAGTAGTAATAATATAATGAATGTTCTTTTTATTTAATTTTTTTAATTAGAGAAGCATTGTTAATCATTTTTAATTTTTTATTAGTATTTCTTTCATATTAATTCTGGTTGTTTCTTGATCACAATTAATCAAACCATCAAGTTGTGGTGATCAGTAAAAGTCCATATTGGAAATAAAGAATAGATTCTTTTTTCATGGAGAAATCCAATAGCTACTCTACTGGTTGTGATACAAGAGCCCTATAATGGCAGATCAAATCTAAGTTTATAAACTTGCTGCTAATGTTTTTTTCTCAATTGTTCAGCATTAAATTTGTTATTGTTTGTATGTACACTCACTGAGTGGTGTAGTGGACTAAAGGTTAACTGGAAAAAGTAAAACAGCAACCTGAGTTCAAATTCCAACTGAGACAATTTGTCTTCACTTTACACTGATACCATTGGGAAAGGTATGAATTTATTTCTATTCTCCCACCTCTGAATTAAAAAACAGACTCGGATCCAATTGTCAACCAGTCCTGAAGGCCAATTCTAGATTCAAAACTTTAGAGAATGGAGTTGGAAATCACTCTGATATCCTAAGAACAATGATAGACTAGTACAGTTTACAGATATTAAAGAAAAAGAAAGCTGTGCTGAGCTATAGTTACCTATACTCTGAAAAAGACAGGGTTTCAATAAATAAATGAAAATAGTATTAGCAGTAGTTATATTATTCTAATTATTTTTTTTTCAGATTAGATGAAGCATTGTTGAACCTCCCACCTTTTTTTCTTCTGATATTTCTTTCATCTTGTCCTCTCATCTTGAAACTTAAAAAAAATATGTACAAATAAACTTTTTAGGATACTAGATGCAACATGCATTTAAGGCAAGACAAAAATAAAATCAAAACAACAAAGATAACAATAATTGTCTACAACATATTTTTTTTAATCATTTCATCCAAAACAAGACAATAAAGTCCTTAAGACACAAGGGGTTACTGAGTGTTATAGAATAAGAAAAAGAAAATCATTATTAAGGAGAGAGAACAATAAAAGAGGAGGAATCAAAAAGACAGTAGATAACGATTGACATTGCATTTAAATTTTTGAAGATGTGTGCAATAATAAAAATATTTGGCAGTCATAGGAAAATTTGTATGGTAATAAGCACATTGCACTTTCCCTCTCACTTGTAACTATCCACTATAATAGAATAAACAGTTTCAGGACTAAAGATGAATTAGTCAAATAAAGCTTCATAAATTTCTACTTAAAGTTGTTGCTATTGTTAGTAAGGTAACATAAAGCCAGACAAAGACTACTTCTTAATTTATTGCTCCCAACTAATTTACCCTCTCTTTGACAAGTTCCCCTTGCCTCCTCATGCCATCAGAGTATTTGAAGATCTAAAAAGGAACATTGCAGAAGCCATTTTCACAACATTGACCCTTCTGCACTCCTGGTAGTTGAGACCGATGAGTTGAACTGTGCCAATAGCTGCCTTGTTAAGACAATCTGAATGACCTGTAGCATTCTTTTCAAGAATTCTCTTGTGGTCTGAGCAGCAATACTCAACAGTTGAAAAAGTGGCGTATACTATTGTCAAGTCACTTAGAAAGTGGCAACATTAATCAGTCACCATTTCAAACTAATTATGGACCAGAAATCGGTTGTATTTATGTTCAACCCTAAAACAGCGAGTAGAATAAAAAAAATGAAAAAATATCAAGGTGGAGAATGGAGCTTTCTTGCTTCTCATTTGATGTGACTTAGCCCCCTGGCAAAGAGAATGCTCCAGTAGACACACTCTCAAAAGTTTGAGGTTCATCTACCTGTGGCAATGATTTCTTTAAACTACATAAGAAACTGTGCCACCTGGGCATGATGAGGATACTCTACATGGTTTGAATTAGAAATTTGCCCTTAGTTGAGGATGTGAAGGGGGCTGTGAAAACCTGTCAAATATGTGCTGAGCTCAAGTCTGGATTCTATCAACCTTGAACTGGAATGATTGTAAAAGACACTCAACCTTTTGAAAGACTAGCTTTGGATTTTAAGGGAACATTTCCATTGAAAACAGGGAATAAGTACCTACTGACTATTATTGACAAGTACTCTCATTTTTGGTTCGCCTGCCCAGATATGACAGCGACAACTGTCCTTCAATCCCTCTTCTTTTTGCTGTCTTTGGATTTACCTGCTTACATCCACTCTGAACTGGGTGACCACCTTCATCTCAGATCACATCAAGCAATTCTTGCAAGAACAAGGAGTGGCTATAAGCAGGATAAAACCTTACAAACCTCTGGGTAATGGCCAATGTGAAAGGTACAACAGCATAATATGGAAGTCAACACAGCTGGCAGCTGCTAACAACCATGGGTTCTCAGTAGACTGCTGGGAAAGTCTCTTCCCTGAGAATCTATATGTTATTAGAATGTTGCTGTCTACAGCAACTACTGTTACTCCAAATAATTTTTTTTTCCTTTCCGTGATGAAGTTCTATGGGCATTTCCCTCCCATTGTAGCTTTCACAACCTGGGACCATGCTACTGAGACATCATCCTCATCAAAGTAAGCACAAACCGCTTATAGATAAAGTAGAGTTAATAGAGGGAAACTCCCAGTACATTTGAGTATGCTATCTTGACAGGAGACAAGATACTGTCTCTCTAAGACATCTGGCCCCAGGAAGCAGATACTGTAACTGCATAAGAAGTACCTGCAATAACCACACCCAATACATAATGTGATGATTCCACTGACAGTGCACCTGGTCCCCTTCACAAGGATTACCCAGAGCTTTCAATCCAAGATCCTTATGATACGACTCCAGTAACTTAGAACTTAGCTCACCCTACTACGGATCCTCTAATTCAGAAGGCAAACAGTCCTAGTGCCGATGTAGGCAAAAGTAAGGTTGAAGCACGTAAACTCAGAACCTGAAAAAGAAACACAAGAAAGACCTAGTAAGGTCAAGCCACCCCAATGATCCAAAAGTACCCAAAAGATGCCTGATCATTTGAAGAATTTTCTTCCATCTGAATAAAATAAATACTGGTGGAGAATGTGGTAATAAAATAAGCACATACCATCACAGGAGGCATGGTGGAGTAATGGATAGCAGCTCAAATTGGAGAGCCAAGTTCAAATTCCATTCAAATCCATTACATTCACTTACGTACTAATACCCTTGGGAAAGCTATGAATCCTCTTCTTCTTCCCCCTAGCTATGGGTAAGTAGCAGGACAGAATGGGTTCTATAGCCTTGGATGGCAACTGGTATGCAGCAGAAAGAAATGGCAACCTACTGCAGGAAAAAATCTGCTTTGTCAGTCATGTATCAAAAGATACATGATCACCTATGTGTATATCACCTATGGCACATAACTGACTGACATCCTATCTCCCTTCTCATTTGTAACTATCCACTATAATAAAATAAATGTTTTTAGTACTAAAGCTGAATTAGTCAAATAAAGCTTCATAAACTTAGAGTTGTTGCTATATATTATTACTTTACTAAGTTTCTGAAAATGAAGCATTATCATGATCAATTTTTAGCTAGTTTTTCATTCAATTTTATTTTTGTTGCTTTTTTAAATTTTTCACATTTTTTGTAGCCTTGATTTTCTTTTCAAGTTTTATGTATCGAACTTATTAAAATTTTGACAAAATATTTCTTTTTGAAATATTTTAATTAACATCATATATTTTATAATTTTGAAAGAAAATCATTATTATTTTAAGATCTGTATAGACTATTGAACTTATTTGTTATATTGCTTTCATTGTTCCCACAGTATTTTGAACAAACAATTCTACAATCTTCTTTAGCTGTACATTATAATCTGTAATAAGAGCATCTTGGGTATGACGATAAACTACATTCGCATCCAGGGTAAGATGATAAACTACATCCAACAGCAAGGCCTCTGATCAGGAGCTTTTGAGGAGCGTGGAACCACCTCTTAATTGCCGGTATTCCAAGGTCCACCCTGACCTGGGGTGGTAGCACCTGTTAGGGTCCCAGTTATGGGCAAATAGTTAACCCAGAAACTGAGGTAAAAGGCATTATAATAGTGTAAAAATAGGTTTTAATACCAGAAATACTTTGTAAAAAATTATTACCAGAAATAAATTTTTGAAGAAAAAAAAATATATTACCAGTAATATGTTTTTGAAAACAAAACTATTACCAGTAATACATACGTTTTTTTAAAAAAAAATATTACCAGTTATATGTTTTTGAAAAATAATATTGCCATCTATACATTTTTGAAAAATAATATTGCCAGCTATACGTTTTTGAAAAATAATATTACCAGCTATATGTTTTTGAAAAATAATATTGCCATCTATACATTTTTGAAAAATAATATTGCCAGCTATACGTTTTTAAAAAAAAATATTACCAGTTATATGTTTTTGAAAAATAATATTGCCATCTATACATTTTTGAAAAATAATATTGCCAGCTATACGTTTTTGAAAAATAATATTACCAGCTATATGTTTTTAAAAAAGTATTACCAGATATACATTTTTGAGGAAAAAAATATTAACAGAAATAGTTTTGACAAAACAAAAATATTACCAGAAAAAAAAAAGTTATCAGCATTAAATGACTCATTGAGGTTGATATACCATAAAACAAAACAAACCAAACCTGTAATAAGAGTCTCCTTTATCAGAAATAGTAGAAAAAAAAAAGAATTCTGACATATAGTGATTAGCATAGCATATTATAACCAATTCATGATTAACAGGTGATTCCACTCTTGGCAACATGTGTGAGACAAGTGTTCTATGATTCTCTCCCTGCTAAGCAAAGAAATCACCCTGGACTGACTTTCTAAATTTATCCAGTAGGTTAATATCTGCCACTCCCTTTAACAGAAACAGCAATAAGAATGAGTCCTGTCATTTTAACAACTATTGGGATAAAATAGTTATTTTAAATATATGATATCTCAAACATTTAAAACTTTAATCTGCTCATATTTTAAGATTCAAGATTTAATATTAATTTCATAAACCACGTCTCATTCTTCCTTTTTTTGACTGTTGTTTTCATTTTTACAGTCTTCCCAAAGAAGATAAAGAAAAAGAAAAGAAAGAAGAAAAGAAAAGACGGCCTAATGTTCTTGCCAAATTTGGAAGTACCCGAAAGAAAACAAAGAAGGTAATTAATTTTCATTATTTTACATCAGAAGTCTAAAAGATTTGCAGGCAGGCTGACCGCACAAAAGTGAAGACATCAGAACTCACACTAGATAGACATGCATACACAATTACAAATACACATTGCCATCCGATGCCCACTTAGATATAGAAGAATCTTCGCAAACTTACATGCACATAGAATTATCTATGGTTTTAATGCACATGACACGTGTCTGACTAACAAGAACTGACCCAAACAAAATTGAAAATACCAGAGTTTCTGTTTTCTCTCAATTTCTGATGAAAAAGTGAAACAGGTTAGATTGATATACGTTTCCTATTTGTTCTCTTATTTTATCATGCACACACACACACACACACACACACACATATATATAATTGTATTTCTCAAATATTCAGGCCGGTAGACAAAAATAAATATACTGTTTAATAAATAAATGAAGCATCTGCTCAAAATACCGTTTAAAGTTATAAAATATTTTAAATTATTAAATAAAAAGATCCATTAATTTATATATATTTCATTAAAAATGATAAACAAGGTACTTTGGATAAGCTTTTTATTTAATTTTTTCTTGTGTTTGAACAAGAGCTTACTTTTCTGGACAAAGTGTGTGTAAAAACTGTCCAAATGTTTTATAGTTCTGAGTGCTTTCGGCTATACCTTTAGCCATTATCAAGGATGATTCAATTTTTCAGCTTAATTGAGTGTGTGCATTATGTGTATGTTTTAGTGTGTTATAGAAATGTTTTTAATTTCAGAATATGGTTAGCACATTGTGGCATTGTTCGCAGTTAATATTGTTAAGAGTTGGCTTTTTCTTTTTTATTATTAAAGCTTCCATTATTTTTAATCTTTTTTTACAGGTGGATGAAGTTATTATATTTGTGTTTTCTACTAGTATGTTTCTAATGGAGTCTGGTAAGTTTGTGCATGTGTTTAAATGGGTTCTAATGGAGCTGTGATCAGATAGGTGTAACGTAAGACGTCTGGATAAGCATGTAGTTGTGTAATCGATGTAATTATTTATAAGTCCGGTTTGATCAGGAACACAGTTCTTTAAGGGGCATTTTAACTCATAGATAATGTTCGTTCTTTGTAATTTTGACTTAACTGGTGTGTTATTATTTTTGAGAATAAGGTTAGCTGTGTTAAATTTTTTATAATAGATAATTAATTTGATTTTTTATTCGGGTCAATTGGGGTAATGTATTTCTTTATAATATGTCTTAGTGAAGATTTGTCTTGTTTATTGTGCATTTGGTTTTTGTAATAAATGTTTATGTAATTTCTGACTGTGTGTTCATTATCATTATTACTTACTTTGGGGAGAAATAGTCTAATTTGGTGGTCTATAAGGTGGTTAGGGAAGCCGTTATTGATTAGTGTTTGTTTAACATTATTAAGTTCTTTGAGGAAGAGTAGTCGAGAGGATGAATTCTGGTGTGCTCTTTTTAGGAAGTTTTTTTATTACTGCTACTTTGTACCTGAGTGGGCATTTGCTTTTAAAGTTAAGGTGGCAAGAGTTTTTGCTAGTGGGTTTTTTATATAATAAGGTGATAAAAGTGTTATTGCTATATTCTACAAGAACTGTGTTCCTGATCAAACCAGACTTATAAATAATTACATCGATTACACAACTACATGCTTATCTAGATGTCTTACGTTACACCTATCTGATCACAGCTCCATTAGAACCAATTTAAACACACACACAAATTTACCAGACTCCATTAGAAACATACTAGTAGAAAACACAAATATAATAATTTCATCCACCTGTAAAAAAAGATTAAAAATAATGGAAGCTTTAATAATAAAAAAAAGAAAAAGGCAACTCTTAACAATATTAACTACGAACAAGGCCACAATGTGCTAACCGTATTTGGAAATTAAAAACATCTCTATAACACACTAAAACATACACATAATGCACACACTCAATTAAGCTGAAAAATTGAATCGTCCTTGATAATGGCTAAAGGTATAAATTTAAAATTTACTATCTCCAGTAAGTAAAATACTCTTTTTAACACAAAAGTTAATTCTTGGTTTTAAAAAATTTGCTAAAATAAAAATATGTTTCTGAATGTTAGTTGAGGAGAATTAGCAAATTTAAAGTTAAATTAATTTGATTTAAAACAAATATTACTTACTTATAGCTTAAAATGTTGTATACAAACATTTCTTAACTACGGAGTCTTGTTTTTCTGACGTGTTAATTGATTTATTGACAACTGAACGTGTTCATAGTTAAGTATGGTGGAGCAGATGATAAAGTTTATATGAGAGAAGTTTTTTCTTGTAAAAAAACACATGACCTTTTAGTGATAATGTTATAGATTTATCTTTGAAATTTTTTAAAAAATATTCGGGGTCATCAGATTGTCATAAGCTATACAATATATAATTAGTAAATATAGTTTTACTTAATAACAATATTTTCAAAGAGTTATCTCATTGAAAATGAATTTTAAAAGATTTAAAAACTTTATAAATTATTCAATTTAAAATTGTAAAAAATCTTGTAAAACATTCATTTTTCATCAAAAGAATTTTTATTCCTTCAAGCAATATTGTCTTTAATATATATTCTTCATAAAAGCAATTAAAAGCTTCTCTAAAATAATGTCTAAATTTTATTGCATTTTTTTATTTTTGGTAAGCTTAGGGTTCAATTTTGAAAAAAAAAAAAAAAATCAGTGATTTAGTCACTAAAAATTATCATATTGAATTTCTCAAGTTTTCATAAAATTAAGTAAGTGATAGGTAACATATGTAAAAATAAAAAAAAATTACCAAAATTTTCTAAAAAACACAAAATTGTACTTCTTTTTAAACTGGTGAATCAATTTTTGGTTAAAAATCTTGAATGAACACTTAACAAGCAACCTTTGTCATATTTTCTGCTTACTGTAAACTAAATTGAAAATACAAGGGAGAATTTAAAAAATGATAAACATGGAAAATTTAGTTGTGGCTTGAAGTAGTTAATTTTAAATGACAATTTTTTGAGAAGTCTTCAAAAACTTTTTGATCATGAATAATTAGAATATGTTAACATTCTTTATATAGAAAATGAATGCACAGAACACAATTCTTTTAGAATGATCAAAGCTACACTGAGCAGGAAAATTAATAAGATTTTCATGTTAAAAGGTGATTTAACTGAAATGTTTAAATAAAAATAAAGTAATTAATGTTTTTATATTTATTCATTTTTTAAATTTGAATAATATAACTTTTAATTTTTTTCTTGCATGAAAAAACAAATTTTGGAATCTGGAGACCATAGTTTAAATATTGATTAGATTAAAATAAATATTTATTTCTGAAACATTTTAATAGTATTTTTAACCACTACAAATGTTAAAAGAAAGAAAAATATTTTGTTTTGAGATAAAAAATTTTGGGTCAGCTCTGTGATAATGTTTAAAAAAAAGTTAATTCACTTGGTTGTATTGGTGATATTGGCTTGTGTACCTTAGCATTATGGTGTCTACAGTGTTAGCACTGGTTGTGATTATGGTTATGTTAGACTCATGTACTTGAGTCCCTAACTACAGATATTATTGTGAGATTATCATGTTGGTATGCCTAAAATATGACCACTCCAGCCGGATTATTGGCAATTTATGCTTTAACCATTAAAGAGGTCAATGCAGCCATTATAAGAAGATTATAAATTTTTAAAGTATTCAATTTTATTTTTTTATTTGTTAAAATTTTATTGAAATACACACAGTCTATTTAAGGTGTAAATTGCAGATTTAATTATTGATATTTGACTGATGGTGCCAAAATGGCAAGACTTCTTGGACAATTTCTTTGAGACTTAAAAGATCAAAAAATCTTTTCCCCTTCACCTTAAATGAAAATATTGGAGGAAAAAAATATGCACCTGAAAAAATAATGACTTTAAATGATCATGAGCTCCTGGCATATACAGGAAGGGGTGAAAAGATAGACAATAGATAATCATAGTTGTCAACACCTTTGGAATTTCCATAGGTTCAGTTAGTCATTAATTGTAATGAGAAAATTCCACTCAGAAAGCTTTTTTCCAAGAACTGCTACTTTATGGAACAGACTCCCATGTGGATGCTTTCTTAAATGTACCTTTTTTTTTTTTTTTTTTTTTTTTTTTTTTTTTTAAATCAAGCAAGACAATTAAGCCCCTAAGACAAATGGTTATTGAGAGCGAAAGAATCTGTGAAAAATTATTATTAAGAAAAGAGGACAATAAAAGAACAGGATTCAAGAAGACAAAAGATAACTGACATTGCATTTAAATTTTTGAATATTTGTGTCATCATAGATACCAAGTTGAGAACTGATGACATCTGGAAGGTCATGGGTGAAAATTAGGGACAACATAGGTTCAAGGATAAAACCCTGGGGGATACCTGCATTAATGCAAAACGTTTAGAAGAGTAGCTGTTTAAGACCATTTTCATTTTGCAATTTGATAAGAAAGATTGAACCAGATCAAAGATTTTTTCCAAAAATACCATAACTTTTTAACTTGTGAAGAAAATCAGCATGTCAAATGTCTTTATCCAAAGCAACAGCCTGAATTTAACCATTCTTATCTAAAGCTTGACAGAATCTTTCAACAATAAACATTAACACATCAGCAGTTGAGCTAAAGAAGCGAAAGCCATATTGCTTGTCTGAAAGTAAACCCTGCAATGTGAGATGCTTAACTCTCTCTTACCTTTCTTTTCTCCATTTTTGCCTCTGGCATCAGTCTTTCTCTTACTACATCTCTCTCCCTTTTCACTCCAGCTTACTGATTCATTGTGCCCACTGGCCAATTTTTTTCACATTAGTTAGATATGCAGTACCTGAAAGCAGAGTGATAGGATATGACAGCCATATTAGATGAACATGCTGGATATATATATTAAGACACTGTTTTTAAAAGTAAATTTTTCAAAGTCTATATGAATTTCTGCAGAACTTAATATAATTATATCACTTGTACTTTTAAAAGT